TCCTACTTGTGCCCCAGACCCTCTCGTGGCCTCTCAAGTCATTCGGAGTCACAGCCAGCACGGCCAGCATAGACAGCAAGTTCCCGTATCATGGGGCCATGGCTCTCTGACCTCGTCTCTTCTGTTCTCAACTCTCTCATTCCGCTCCAGATATGCTGGGGTCTCGGGCTCCCCCTCAAACATACCGAGGCTCTGCTGTTCCCTATGTCCAGAACATTCTTCCTGCAAGGACCTACACGGCTTGTTCCTAAACCTCCAGAAGGTCTTTGTTCAAATGTCACTATGAGAAGGCCTTGTGCGATCCCCTTATTTGCAATCCCCTACCTACAGTGCCCCTTCACGGACTTTATCTCCATACCAGTGTTCCCGTCCGACATTTGTTTTTCAGTTTCCTGTTTATTTCTCTTCCCTCCCCACTCCCATCCCACCCCATAAGAAATAAGCTCAAAGAAGGAAGAGTCTTCTGTCAGTTTTCACAACTTCATCTCTAATGCCTAAAACAGTTCCTGCATAGAGTAAGGGAGCTAAATACACATGTTTAATGAAGTCGGCAATGAACTAATACAGATCATGTCGGGTTAGATGTTCCTGTGAGACGTTCAGGCACAGCCACCCGATAGGCAGTTGGGACCGGAGCACTGGAAGTCGCAAGGGAGAGCAGGGATGGAGACGGAGATTTGCGATCGTGGGGATGAAGAAAGAGCAATTCCCCATAAGCATCGAGAGCTACGGTAGGACGATACTAAAATTCAGACTCAGGAATCAGACAGCCTGGGCTCAGATCCTGGTCTTGACACTTCTTGCTTATTATATAAGCCTTCAACAAAGTTTTAAAACCCTCTGTGCCTCAGTGTTCTCATCTGTAAAATGGGATTTAAAAAAAAAAAAAAAAAAAAAACCTGCCTCAGAGGGTTAAGATTTAAAGAAGCAAATACAAGTAAAGAGGACAGCAAACAGTACCAGAAAAGCCTGGCACACGGAAAGGGACACAGGAAATGAAAGCAAGGGGGCATACTGACGGGAGAGGCATTTTCTCTGGATAAGAGGGGTAACATTTAAACATTTTTTTTTTAAGTTTATTTTATTTGTTTTGACAGAGAGAGCACAAGCAGGGGAGGGGCACAGAGAGAAGGAGAGAGACAGAATCCCAAGCAGGCTCTGCGCTGTCAGAGGGGCTCGAACTCACAAACCGTGAGATGGTGACCTGGGACGAAGTTGGACGCTTGACCGACTAAGCCCCCCAGGCGCCCCCCCGCCACCAGGGGTAAGAAGCCAGGGTTTGTTTTCAGACTACGTAGCCCCTCCTCTCCTTATGCTCTGTAGTGAACCTACAGAAGTTCCCTCCGCTTTTCTCCTTTGAGTGTGTTGTTGTTGTTTTATTTCTCTTCTCTCTGGTCCAATCAGAAGAAACCAAAAACCGTCTCTGAAGGTGTTTCGAATTTGAGCAAGGTATGGGATACTGGGAGGCGCACCGCATGGCAGGAAGAGCGTGGGCCTTCAGAGGCAGATAAATGTGGTCTTGAACTCCACCTCTGCTGCTCAGATACGGAGCTTGGTCTGGATCTAAAGAGGAATTTTGTTTTTAATTTTTTTTAATCTTTACTTATTTTTGAGAGAGAGAGAGAGCAAGCGAGACAGGGCGTGAGCAGGGGAGGGGCAGAGAGGGAGACACAGAATCCCAAGCAGGCTCCAGGCTCTGAGCTGTCAGCACAGAGCCCAATGCGGGGCTCAAACTCACAAACTGCAAGTTCATGACCTGGGCCGAACTCAGCCACCCAGGCGCCCCTAAAGAGAAATTTCTAGGGGCGCCTGGGTGGCGCAGTCGGTTAAGCGTCCGACTTCAGCCAGGTCACGATCTCGCGGTCCGTGAGTTCGAGCCCCGCGTCAGGCTCTGGGCGGATGGCTCAGAGCCTGGAGCCTGTTTCCGATTCTGTGTCTCCCTCTCTCTCTGCCCCTCCCCCGTTCATGCTCTGTCTCTCTCTGTCCCAAAAATAAATAAACGTTGAAAACAAAAATTTTTAAAGAGAAATTTCTAAAAGAGAAAGATAATACCTACCCCCCCAACACCGCAAACCTGAAGAAGAGTAGCTGCTGCATACACTTTTGTGGCATAAGTGAACGGGGTGGTTGTGAGGGCCGAATGCAAGAACGCGGCCCACTTAAGGGTGTGGGGTCAACGAGGAGACCCAACAGAGAAGCTACAGCAAGCCTTGCTTTTGGGACTGGCAGCTGGACTGGCATTCTTGTGGCCAGGGCCTGTTTAAAAGACCCGGAGTCGGGTCAGAACTTTCTATTTATTCATGTCCTTACACTTCGTCTTCTAAGGGAAAAGATTTGCTTTAGGAAGGGTCTGCTGAAGCACTAGCCCTTATTATAAGGCGCACTTAAAGTGGTTAGATCCTGTTATCGGGTTTGTTGTGGGTCTTGGAAAGATAAAAGGGCCACCTTGGTAGTTGTTCTGTTTGCCTCTGAGTTTCCTTTTATCCCCCAGTGTTGGGCTGGCTGCGAGCACCGCGGCTGATAACCTTTGTGTTTAATTCGTCGTGTACCAGCACCGCTCGCACCATGCCAAAGCCGAAAGGCTCAGCAGCTGCTTTACGGCAACGTGCGTAATCAGGTCTCCGAAAATAGCAATAGGGATTTAAGAACTGATTGCATTTTGTGGGTTTACTTGTTTTAAGGAAAGTGCTTTGGATAATTTTTTTTTTTCTGATTACCAAAGAATACGTGCTCATTCAAGATAGTTTGGAAAACCAGAAACGCTCAAAGGATCGAAAACCCTACCACGCCGGCCTAGAACATTTCTGCGTAAATCCTACAGACCTTTCCAGATCCCGCCTCCCCAGAGAGGAGCGTGCATGGACAAAAACAAAATTAAAATCACACTAAACGTTATGATATGACTGGTTTTTGAAATTAACTAATTGGTGCATTAATTCATTCATCCGGCCAAGCAAATTATTTAAATACCTACTTAGGTGCCAGGCCCTGTACAAAGCATGAAGGATGAGGGAGACGAGCATATAAATAAAATCAGTGAGATACACGGAGGTAGTAAAGGTGCACGTAAAGTCCAACGGGTGCACACGACAGGAAGCAGAGACAATTCTCCGCGCTGCAGAGGTGCTAGGGAAGCACCGTACAAGAGAGGACACGTTACTCACAGGTAACAGAAGTTCACCAACGAAGGGACGTCAGCCGGGGATGGAGCAAGAAGGCCCAAAACATGAGACCGCGCAGCTGGTCTGAGGTGCTTGCGACAAAAGTCCAGCGTAGGTAACAAGATGAAAGAGACGGGGAGATAAGGCTACAAATGCAAGACCCAGGCAACGAGCAGCCACCGCGCGGTTTGAAGCAGGGGGTTGGCCTGCGCAGATTGATGTCTTGGTTAGAATATGTGCTAGAGCTCTAAGGATTAAGAAAGAGGTGCACGGAGGAAAAACTAGTCCATAAAAGGACTCATCCGGTGAAAGACAGGGAAGATCTAATGAGAAGGGAGATGATAGATAACGTCCTGGAATGGACAGTGAGCTGGAAGTCAAGGGACCTGGATTCTAGATGGGTAAACATCTTTCCTGTCTTCCTTCTGCAGCTACTGAGAATCAGCCACATCCAAGTGCACGCTAGATGCTGGAGAAACAAAGATGAGGGGGTCAAATTCTTACCCCCAAGAGCTTACATCCTAGGAGGAAAGCAGAGGTGACCGTGCACTATCAGTGCCTGCCCAGAACGCCTTCCCCTCCTTCTTTGGGACGGGGACTCCGATCGTCCCCTAAGGAAACCATCCATCTCTGACTCACAGCCCATGCACTTTGAGTGGAAATGGTCCTCTCTGAGCCCAACTCCACGAGTGGGTGCATGAACTGGGCTGTGCAAACAGGAGCATCTCACCCACCTGAACACAGTGACTGGTTCAGGAACAGGCACAGGATTCTAACCAGGCCAACGAGATCACTCCCAGGAGAACTGGATGGACCCCGGAAAAAAAAAAAAAGAAATTACTGCCTTCTTCTAAGATCCCATGCGCTTCAAACCACACGCCCCTCGGGCTGTGAGAGTCCTCCTATGCTAGCAGGTCAGAGCCCATCCAGCATGAAGTCACAAGGGGTGCAGAATCAAACCACGGCACAGAGAAAAGCAGTGATCAGATACCATCTTTTGAGAGGCTGGATTCAGCCGGGCACTCCAAGGCCTCTACGTTAAGAAGGCCAGTAAATTCCCTTTTTTTGCTGCAATGAGTTTGTTTGGGTTTTTGTCACTTGTAATTGAAAGAGTACTGACGAAGTCAGGGAGAGAAATACAGAACCCCCGTAACTGCAACACAATGTGATAGGCACCACAGAGGTATCTCACAGGGTACAAGAAGCTCAGAACAACAAAGCAAAGTCAACTCTACTTGTAGGTAAGGGGATGTTTAATCGAAGTCTTTTTTTTTTTAATGTTTATTTATTTCTGAGAGAGTAGGAGAGAGAGAGAGAGAGAGAGAGAGAGAGAGAGAGAGAGAGAGAAACACAAGCGGGGAAGGGGCAGAGAGCGAGGGAGACACAGAATCTGAAGCAGGTTCCAACTCTGAGCTGTCAGCGCAGAGCCTGACGCGGGGCTCGAACCCACGAACCGTGAGATCATGACTTGAGCCGAAGTCGGATGCTTAGCCAACTGAGCCACCCAGGCGCCCCTAAGTGAAGTCTTGAAGACTTAGCCGCCTGGCAACAAGAAAGGCGCAAAAAGGATAGTCTATGCAGAAGAGACACAATGAGCAGAGGCAAGGAAGTACAAAAGGCATGGAACGTTGGGGAAGAAAAAACAGTCCACTGTGCTAAAGCCCTAAGTTCACGGCAGAGAGCAGACCGTGAAGGAGTCTGTACGTTCTGGGGATGATAAGGAGTCACTGCATAACCAGATCAGACCATTTCACTTCTCATTTAACCTCTCCAGACCACAGCTGCTTCTTAGACCAGAATGAATAAATACAAATTGACACAAATATTAAAAAATCTTACCTGCTGATAAAATTCATCATCCTTGGGGGTCAGATAAGGAAGCCAGGTATCTTCAAGCTCCTCAAGAAGCCTCAGTTTCTGTTCAAAAATAATAATGATTGTAGGTGATTGACTATAAAGTGACCAAAATATAAGACAATCCCTTGTTTTGCCAGTAAAACAATACCCAGAAAACTTAGCCAACCTGAATGTGTAAACTTTTACAGACAGAAATGAGCTGAATGCCTATTATTTAATGTACTAATTTAATTACATACACTTAAATGACACATTGGATAAAGCATTAATTTAGCAATCATGATTTTATTCACTCTTATATTCCATGAAACAATTTAATTCACCAATCTTGACATATTTCTTCAACTCAAGGTCTTTCTCATCACCGGAATCACCTTTTGAGACATCCAATACAGTTTTCTAAAGCAAATCTTCCTGTCTGTATAATGACACAGAATTTTCTGAAAATCCTTCTATGACACTAAACACTGGAAATACCAAAGCAAACTATAGTATCCATTTACACAGTGTCAAGATATTTGGAAGATGTACTCATCCTATAAACATTAATTTGATATCATATCTACTTATGTATTACTTTTTGAAAGTAATCTTTCACCTCTAGACTAATTACTAATAAAAGCATCCTCACTTTTCTTTTCCAATTTTATGGCAAAAGTCTGTAAAGCATCCACAGCTAGCCCTGTCTGAGGTCATTTTTATGTCTTCCCAAATAGCACTACGCTGTTCAAACAAAGTAACTAAGAGAAGACCCCATATTATAAAGTGCTTTATAAAGAATCAAAGACATATAAGGTGACACCTTCCTTCTGAAGGATTTTTTCAAAGAATACCTAATGTTATATTCAAATATATACAGAGGGTATGTGTCGTGTATGTGTGTATGCTTAAATGGCATTATATGTGTGTGTATACACATAGACACACACATAGGAATTATCTACATACTACAGAAAATTTCTCAAAGGGAAAAAAAAACAGAAAAGAAAAACAACAGATTTTCAAATAAAACTGCAATAAAATGCATATTCTGGTTGTTATCGGCACCTTTATAAGAATTAGAAAATGGGGCGGGGGGAGGGGTTGCCTGGGTGGCTCGGTCGATTGAGCATCCGACTCTTGATTTTGGCTCACGTAATGATCCCAGGGTCGTGGGATCAAGCCCCACGTTGGGCTCTGCACTGAGTGTGGAGCCTGCTTAAGATTCTTTCTCTCTCCCTCCCCCTCTCTCTCTCTCTCTCAAATTAAAATAAATTAAAAAAAGAATTAGAAAAGGGCACGCCTTGCTCTGAGTCATTGCAGCCCTATTCCACAGGGCATGGCTTGGTGAACACTAACTGGAATTTAGCCCCTACCTGCTCCAGTGGACACTATCTTCATGCAGTGACCAACCTGCTCAACCAGACATGGGGGCCCTGATTATCACCCTCCCCTCTCCCAGGAAAGCAGCTGTCTCTCACAAACCCATCACAGAGTAGTCCAGAGAAAACATCCGTAGGGCAGAACCTAAATTCTTTTTGGATCTTTTGCAAATTATCCAAGGTAAATAAAGAAAAAAGGAATCGAAATATAGCAACCAGTTGATCTAAGAGAAACAAAACACTAAATCTTACTCATATAAACTCCTAGTCTTATTTATTTAGTGAAAGCTTTCTGCTTGGACTGTAGGTTTTATTCTCATCCATAATGATAAGACAGGTTTACCAGTTAAACAAGGAACAGTTTTCCTTTATGAAGAACCCATCTACTAACACAAACCATTAGATTAGTCATTGGTTAAGTGGTTCATCTATTTTCAACATTAGCCATTATTTGGGACACGGAAAGAACTAATGATATTTCCAGGCATATACTTACACATTTATGACTTCACCACAGATCTAATCAAAATCCATACCTCAATTTTCACTTCAACCTCAGGAAAGCCTGCATTTTCCTATGAATCTTTTACCAGTCCTTTTTATAGATAGAATACTTAAATGCCAAAAAAAGAAAAAAAATTAACCCATTGTTAAAATCCTTGAATAATTCAAAGGCATATGATATCTCAAACCTTGAAATGACTCCATATTGGAAATACCACCTTAAGATCTCTGCAGGCGAGTCTATGAAGCTAATTTGTGTATAAGAAGGAGGACAGAGGCACAATACCTCTAAGGAATTAAATATTCTACCTTAATGAGATTAAAAAGCAATAGACCTGTCCTGTAGGTCAACAAGGACTGATGGAAGCTGAAATTCTGTTTATAATTAATACTTTAGCTCTGTTATAAAAATAACAATTTCCCAGCTCAGTTGAAGTCCAGTGTATCAGACAGGTATAAAACATCAGAATTTGGAAGGGCTGTATCAAAAGGATAAAATTCTATAGGAATGTGCCTACCACAGAGCAAGCTGAATATAAATGGTCTCCATCCACTGGAAATTTCAATTTTGATACTGTGAGCATCATCATATCTATATGACAGGAGAGAATGAAGGTCCAGCAATCACTGAACTTAAGACCCCACATATGAAATCTGCTCTGTACATTCACAGCTTACCATTTTACCAATTAACTAATGAGATCAATTAAAAATAACATTTATCAACTTTAAAAAAATTCTGGTCCTATCTGCCTTGGTGAAATCAATCAGGAATTAATATTAGATTCAACTGGTAATTCATGAACATCACACATTCCTGAAAAATTAAGATTGCTTTAGCAGGGCATCTGGGTGGCTCAGTTGGTTAAGTGGCAAGACTGCAGCTCAGGTCATGATCTCACGGTTCACGGGTTCAAGTCCCGTGTCAGGCTCTGTGCTGACAGCTCAGACCTGGGGCCTGCTTCGGATTCTGTGTCTCCCTCTCTCTCTGCCCCTCCTCCCCCGCTCATGCTCTGTCTCTCTCTCAAAAATAAATAAAACATGAAAAAAATCTTTTAAAGTTAACACTGCTTTATAAAAAGGCAAAGTGACTCTGGGCATGACTATGGAGAAAAAAAGTCCTCTCATATTCAAGAGTGCAAATGAGTACAATATCAATCAATGGATGGCAACTGACAATTCCTATCAAAATTCAAATGCATCTGCCCATTGACTCAGAAATCCTACTTCTAAGGACTTTTCTATGGATATACAGTAAAACCTTGGACTGCGAGTAACTTGTTCTGTGAGAGTTCCACAAGACAATCAAACATTTCTAATAAACTTTAACTTGATAAATGAGCAATGCCTTACAGTATGAGTAGTACGTGATACCGAGCATCACATGATCACAACTGAGCCAATGGTTCTTGCAATTCACTTTGATATACAAGTGCTTTGGATTACAGGCATGTTTCTGGAACGAATTATGCTCGCAAACCAAGGTTTTACTGTACTTGTGTGGGGTTCGGAAGAATGTATGTCCAAGTTTACCCACTGGACCACTATCTGTAGAACAAAAGCTTAGAAACGTACTAAAAACCACTTGATTGTAGATTTTAAAAGGATAAGTGTTTTGATACGTATGTTCCAGCTCGACTAAACGAAAAGATTAGCTATAAAGCAAGGATCCACCCACAGAGAATGGTTAACTAAACTATGGTGCATTGACACAATGAGATAAAATGCAACAGTAAGCAAGGATGAGGAAGTTCGCCTGTTAGTGAAATAAAAAGCTCTCCAGAATATCTCGGGAAGTAAAAGGCAACGGGCCGGACATGTGCTTGTGTGTCATACAGAAACATAAAGGATACGTGACAAACTATTCAAGTGGTTACCTGTCAGGGCAGAGGTGGGAAATGAACACGAGAGGACATGGGTGAAGCAAGACTGTTCCAAATAGTCCATTTGCATTGTTTTTGCTTTTTGAACTAGGTAAATAGGTGGCCTATTCAACATATCACCTCTTCTTACCTCAAACATACTGCCTACTGATTCTTAACGTAAAATTCAGTGTGAAAAGGCATGATGCCCTGAATTTTTTTACTCTGTTTTAGAAAGTGCATATTTTTGTGATGCATATGAAGCATACGGGGAGGAAACTCTCACAGCCCCGCACACCGAAGAGTAAAGAGGCAAAAACAAACCACCCGGCTCTGACAATTTCTCTGTGTCAAATGCCAACCAGTCGGTGAGCACACACATTAAAATGCACTCTGGAGTGGACGAACAGGGTGCTCCTGGCTGACTGTCAGATCTGGCTAACTGCCACTCCCCGGCCTGATGTACAGATAAATCCACACAGCTGGGCCCGACCGCACACACCTCGGCTCACAAGCTTCTTTGCTGTCACGCTGGTGTCAAATGCATCAGGCGGCTCACAAATGCCGCACAGAAGGCCAGAGAGTGCAAAACCCAAGCGCTCCCACCCGGCAGGAGGAGCGTAAGAAGACCTTTTTGTAAGGGGCTACACCCATTTCCACCCTTCCGGCGAGTAAAGACAACGCGAACACAAGGCCTTAGGTAAAACACACTGCAACTCAAAACCACAAAGATTTAAAGTTGGAGGTCGAGGGGCACCTGGGTGGCTCAGTCGGTTGAGCGTCCGACTTCGGCTCAGGTCATGATCTCACCATCTATGAGTTTGAGCCCTGCATCGGGCTCTGTGCTGACAGCTCAGAGCCTGGAGCCTGCTCCCGATTCTGTGTCTCCCTCTCTCTCTGCCCCTCCCCTGCTCATGCTCTGTCTCACAAAGAAATAAAAAAACATTACAAAAAAAATTTTTAAGTTGGAGGTCAAACTTCAACCCTAAGCCTCTGACTCGCTGTGAAAAGGGAAGCTGTATCTGAGCTGGCAAATCTTGTCCTAGAGAGCTATGGTTTGAGAATCTTACGATAGTTACATAAAAAGATGAACCAGATATGAGGGGGTGTCTCACCTACAAATAAAGCGTATTTTCTGCAGTCTCGTCAGATTATGCTGCTAACGACTCTTAACTCTTCATCCATTTTTCATTTTGCACGTAATTTTCAACCTGTGAATCATATTGTGTCAGGTTCAATAAAAATTTAATTTTGCTCTCTGATTCTTTTCGAAATGCAGTCACAAATAAAAGGCTTATGAGTGTTCAGTGTAAAAATAATCATCCGATCTTCT